TGCAGGTATTATTTTTAAATTCAGAGGCTTCAGGGAAAGAAAAGGATCTACCTTTACTATTGATATGCCTGAAAGACGTATCGATATAGCTCTTTTAATAATCCAGGGTCCCAGTTAAAGTCCTTGAGCCCAGTACTAGTGGGCAACTGAAAGAATTGTGAACTGTCCCTGTGCCTTGCCTCGTTCTTGAAGTTCTTTAAGCATTTCAAATTGATCACTGCTGGAGGCAGAGTACCAACCACAGGTAGTCACCTAGTAGGGAAATTCTCTAGTTTTTGGTTTGAAGAAAGTATAGCTGGAGTCCATGTAGCACAGGTGACATGTTTCCAATGTCCCACGTGAACAAAGATCTGCTACAATTGCAAATAGTAGTTTCCTGCCTCATCCTGTGGTAGGCAGGAATGTGTGGTTGCCAAGAAATGCATACAGCTTTTAAGTTTTCTCTTGGCCCCCAACTCAGCTTCACAGTACAACAGCTTGAAGCTTGATCAAAGGGAATGTGACTATATGGGTTGTGGGTTGGTGAGTTTTAGTGGAAACTTTAGTGGGAATTTGATCATGTTAACTTGTTTTACTAATATTTGTAACACCTTGTTACTTCAAGAACAGTTCAAGAATTTTGTAAGAAAGTTGAAGGTGAACTTTTACTGGCTAAATGCCTCCTGCAGCTAGAAGCTGCACTGGAGAAGCTCTTCATACTAGTGCTTTGGGGATTTTTGTCAGTTTTCTTGTTTATTTAAAAATTTTTAAAAGTGTATTTGGTGAGTGAGAGTTTTAATTTCCTGTAACTTCTCACTACTGTGATAATGATATTTGACCAATGAAAGTAATTAGTATTCTTTTATTACTCTAATAGTCCTTAAGAAGGGAGAGAGGAAAAAAGAAAAAAAAGAAAAAAGATCTTGTGTGTGTCATTACTTATCCCAAAATGTGAGCAAGCTTGACAGAGCAAATGAGAGGGCATGTTCCCTTTCTGGCTGGACTGAGCTCAAATTGGCAATGCACTCCCAAAGATCCCAAAGCTGGAAAAAGTAGCACTTGACAATTGTGCCTCTGTACTTAATGCTGAGAAGAAAGAGATAAGCAGGGAGCAACTTTCCTTCTTGGGATTGATTGATATGATGGAAGTGACAGGTTGCTACTGACCCCTTCTGCTTACAGTTTATAGTGTGACCCAGGAGAATAGTTCTTTCTTTCTGTTCATTTCTGGCACAGTTCATTTCAGAGAGAGAAATGCTGCTGTGCCCCAAGGCCTGACTCTGTTTGATTTGTGCTCGTCTATATCATGTTCTGCTGAATGCTGTAGAGATGTGTATGTTCGCCTGTTACGTTTGCAGGGGTTTTTAACTTCTCCTGCATAGAATTAAAGTCATTACACTTTTGTATCCTCTAAACAAAGTGTCTTTAAATAACAGATTAAATGGTGTATTCTGATTAACATAGAGGAAAGCACTTCTCAGTATCAGAACTGAATTCTTATACTTTGTTCGCAAAACATAACTTAATCGGATTTACTGCAGAGGAGTATTATAAAACTGAGTGCCATTTTTTTATTATTTGTTTTTATTATTTGCATTATTATTCTTTGGTGGAATTCCAGCTAGTCAGCTACTGAATTTCCAGAAGGAGCTTAACATTTCAATAAGTCAGTGCTACTGTATGTTAATTATACACTAAAAAATGAAGGTAAATCATCATAAATGCCTTGGCTCCTATTTTGTCAGCAATTCCACAAATTTTTCTATAATGCATAATGATAAATACAGTTCTTAATGTGAACATGAATATGACTCATGTTCCACCTTCAAATTGTTTTAATTGTGACCAATATTCTGCTTTTGTCAAAAAAAAAAAAACAAAATTTAACTGATGTAAATTTATTATCAACTTCCAGTCAACTATTGCATAGTCCTCATGGATTGTAAGATTCTTATAGCTGATCATTTATTTTGCTTTTTAATTAGTTCAAATGTAAAATAAATAATGGCAGTGACCTATAAGCAGTTTTACAGGTTTTCTGATGACTAATTGTAGGAAAGTTTCTAAATTCCTTGTCGCCTTGTGAAGCCAGGTCATCTAGCTAGATGTGCTCATTTCACTTTAAAAACAGTTTTCTCAGTTGAAAAAAACTGTGAGCTATTGGCCCCAAGAGGGGGACCCAAGACTTTTCTCTCCAAAGACAGTCTGTGTTTTGAATGATGCTCTTAGAGTGACTTCTGAATGATTTAAATCTCTTATAGTATAAATCATCCTGTTCCTTAATGATAATACAGAATATATTTTCCTCTTAGATCATGCATGCAGAGAAAGAACTCTTTCTCCATTTTATAGTGTGCCAAAATGTGAGACTATTAGGATATGATTTAAGATATGGCTTGTACCCAAAAGAAATTACTTTCTTAATGAATGCTATCCTGGTTCCATATCTATGTGTAAAATAATGAAAATCTATTTCTTTTAGAAATGTTTGAGTTACTACCTGTATGGTGGATATGTTTCCATTGCGGTATGATTTTGGCCTCTGCTGGAATTCTGCAAGGTTACTTGCTCTTTCTGTCAGCTTTAATTTTAATGCTGCTGCTTCTGCACACGAATTTACTTGGATGAAATCCTTAGCCTCAACAAGATTTTTGTGATTTTCATGTTTCAAAAAGCTATTCTTGTTGTCAGCTCTAGTTTTGAAGCTGTGTCGTTACCTCTTTAGAGGACAATATAGTTACTAAGATTTGATATTCTTCCTAGAATCCTAATACTGACTTTTTCCAAGTTTAAACCAGAATCAGAGTTGATATGTTGTTTGCTTATTTTAATACACAGGTTTTTTTCCACGCAGCTCTTAACGCCATTCATGTGACTGGAAAACATTTGCCATTTCTACTTTGGTTTTTGATCTCAGTAAAGTAAATCTAGCTAAACCTTTGGTTCAAATTCATTTTTCATGTTTGTTCTTATCTGTAGTCACTTGCTCATGCAGCAGCTACTACAGTTTTTTTTTCATACTGTTCCTCTATCCTTTTCCAAAGATCATTCTTCGGTGACCATTTGGAAATAACAATATTTACTACCAATCTTGGGACTTCTTTGTGGATGTTCCAATTCATCTCACCTACTTAACTTTTTCAAAGTTAAGAACTCTCTAATGAGGTAATTCTTAAATTTGGCTTGTGGTTGTGCCAATTAATCTATTTTTTATATAAAATATCACCTTATTCACATGTGAGATTATTTTTCTCACAACGCGGATATTTCTAATTTTGCTCACCGAATTGAGATAGCTGCATTTTGGCAAATCTGATACTGGGTTGGAAAGACGTAGCAAGCATTTGTGAAAAATTGTATTCTAAGCGACCAGCTTGCCCGTTCATGAGACTTTTGATAGCTTTCAAGCGCTTTTAGCATTGGAACATTATCTTTGTTATTGTTCATCCATTGCAAATCATCTCACCCTGGAAGTATTAAATATATTGGAGAGATTCAGTGGATAGGCTACCTAAATACCCCTAGCTTGGGTTATCTTTTCAATGGAGTGATTCAGAGAAAAACAATTTTCCTGTAAGGCGTACCTAAAAAGGTATATTGCATTGAGACCATACACTGATTGCCATTTCCACTTTGGAGTCTTTGATTTGGTAATGTTCTTGTCTTTACGAGCACAGATACATGTGTGTGCAGTGTATACAAAGGCAAGAAATAGTCTAATCCCAGTGAAATAAATAGGAATTGACCCTTCGGTGACAGCAGGATTTTGAGTGCTTCACAGTGCATCCCAATGCCTACATTTAATACGTTAAGATACAGTCTTAAAGCACCTTTTATATAAGGGAGTTTCTGCAAGGGAGGATGATGTGCAGGTTTGTTCAGTCAAAGCTGAGTTTTAATTAACTTGTTGTAGTTGCCTCATGAGTGAAGTGTTTAAAGGGTCTTTTTTTGGCTGTTCCTGCCAACAAACGTGCATCCGAGTTACATTAATGTTGACTAATGTGCTCAGTGTCCCCGACTCGCTGCTCAGAGGGGCTCACCCTGCGTGCTTCTAGCTAATGTGCTTTTGTATCTGACCACAAAGCCAGCAGCAAGTGGGACTGCAGCTGTGCTGCGTCGGGAAATTGATTTAAGTGCTGACATTGGTAAGGGTTGAAGACATATGGGCAAGAAAAAAGTTTCCAAACCCTGTGGAAATCTGCTTCAAGCAGGGGAGCTGGTAGATGCCTTCCTTGCAAAGAGGGGTACACCCGGAGCAGCCTGTGCTGAGGACGCCTGAGGAGGTCGTAGCACAGGGAGCAAATGGTAGGAGCAAGGTACAAAGCTCCAGAGACATGTTCTGAATGAGGAAAGCTCAGAAAATCTGCTTTATGTCTAGTTATCTCTCTTGATAGGCATTTTCTCTAACTGTACATGTTTACTTGACTTGGAATGTTAATTTTTGTGCTTTCATGTCTGCTCTTTTTTCATATATTTGTTTTTCTTCACTCTTCTTTTTTGAATGCAAAAAATACCTCCTCAATTTTCATTAGTTGGTTAGTTCTTAAAATGTGTTCCCTAACACAGTAGGTGATGCGTTGCTAGTTATCTACTGGTGACCTATGATTTTGAAATAAAGAAAAACTTTTAATGTGTCTAGAAATTACTCTAAATACATGAAATACTCATGACTAACTTTGCCTATTATAAGGTCTTTTCTCACAATATAACTCTATTTAAAGAAGCAAATGTAATGTGACAAATATTTAGCATGGAGGTTCACATAGATAATTGATGACTTTTTATTTTTGGAAAAAAAAAAAAAGGTCTTTATTTTGAAATTAAATGCAATAAAGCACAGAGATTCAAGTAAGTATAAAGTTTTGGGTAGAATGTCAGAGAAACTGGGGAGGGAAGATCATCATTAAAATGGTAAAATGATTAGAGTAACTACTGTGTGAGCAAACAGAGAACATATTCTGAAAGGAAATCCAGTTGACCTCAAGGTTTCTAAAGCTTTCAAAATGTTCACATTATTGCAGCTGGGAAGTTCTGAGATTCCTTCTCTCTAATTTGAGAATGTGGATAGAAGACTATGGCTTTGATGGCTTCCGATTTGATGGTGTTACATCTATGTTGTATCATAATCATGGGATTGGTAAGTAATTCAAGCAAGTTAGTTAAAGCAGTCCTGATGGAGCTCTATTTTTGCAGAAGTGGTAATACAAAAACTAGTTGAATGCTCCGAGAACTTAGGAGATTTACAGATATTTTGTTTTACTGATACGTGAATAAATTAGAAATAAGCAGTAAAAAAGATGTTTATAAAATTGCATAATTGTATTTTTTGATGTTTTCTTGTTTTAAAATAAGAAAGCTACCATTTTCCTTTAAATTTCTTGTTTTATTAGGCGAAGGTTTCAGTGGAGATTACAATGAATATTTTGGCCTGCAAGTGGATGAAGATGCTTTGTGTTACCTAATGCTGGCCAACTACATGATTGGTTTATTGCATCCGGAATGCATAACCATAGCAGAGGTAAAATCAGAACTTGTCATACTCAATGACATTAATATTGATTAGTTTTCTTTTGGATGCATATTTCCTGATAATTATTAGTCACACTTCAGTTTCTCAAGGCGTGACACAAGCCAATAAATTTTAATTAGTGGACAGTCTTTGCCTCTGGGTTCCAGGATGAAAAACAATAGGAATATGCACTTTGGGGATTTTCTCTGAGCTAGTGCATCATAAAACATTGTGGGATTTTTTTTTCCTCCTTTGAATATGTAATAAGCTTTTTTGTTTTGTTTTGTTTTTTTTATTGATCATTGCTGTTGCATGATTGCTCTTTGTCACTAGTGATTCATGGTACTAAAAAATAAAAGCCCCTGTGCTGTTTTGCATATTTTAAATTATATTGACATAATTGACAATTTCCCTTTATAATAAATGTGATAAATTAATGTTGAATGTATGCTAATTTACACGTAGCATTAAGTTTCCCCATCTTTCCAAAGAAGTAAATAAACTATATTATTTAAATATCTTAAAGGTCAGTTACATTGTTTATTTATTTATTTTCTCTGAGAAACTTTATTATTGGTGTATAGAATTTCTTAAAGCAGTATAACTCTGAAGGATCACGGTTCTATTAATAGACACTTTTTTTTTTTTTTTTTTTACATCAGTAAAAAAAACTCTTTTATCTAAAGGAGAACAAGTAAACCTTGGGGATTCTCTGTTGCACTGAAATGTTTGTTTTCATTAAAATAAAAAAATTACATCTATCTGATACCATTAGAGAGTACACAGACTTTTAATAAAGCTTTTGTATTATTTAAGAGATTCGCTTTCATCTTCAGAAAACAAAATATTGCTAACTTCATTAGATATGTAGGGCAGAGTTATAGACAAACACTGCTAAAAGCTTAATGACAAGGTATTAAAAGTAGCAGCTGGTAAGCAATTACTGATAAATAAATTTGAGATGGCTTTATTGATCTGTAGGCTTATTTCAAGTGAATATTCTTCATTATCTGGGGAATCTTAGATAATGTGCCTTCCTACCAATGGAATTTTGTGTTCAGTCTGCTTGTATTACCTTGCCTAAAAGCTGTTTTAAGATTTCAGGTTTTCTTACTTAAGTTGAAAGCTACAACTATTTCAATACCTCGTTTTTCTTACTATGGGTTGTCTATATACAAAACAGAGAATTGATCACCATGCTTTGTGGTAGGAAGAAAGCTCCAAAGGATGAAACTGTTGATATAATTTTCAATTATAAATGTCTCTGAATCTTTGATTGCCTGTAATGACAATGGAGTGAGTGCCAAAGGAAAAAAAAAATCTATTTATAATATATTCCTTAATTACTGGTTGGTAATTTTTGCAGATTTTTAATATCCTATATATTTACTGCTTTAATGTTTTCCAAGTCACTAGTTTAGATGCTTATTTTTCATTTGGCCTTTCAGATAAAGCTGCCATTAAAATTTTGTGTGATTAGAACAAATGTTAATAAGTAACCTGCAGCATGCCTGAAGGTATTAAAACAAAAGGCAAAAGGTACCCTTTTGCTGTCACTTTTGTTTATGTGCTGCACAAGTTAGAGAAACTCAAATCTGGAGAAAAACTTGGACTTTGGCACTTTTCAGGGCAATATATATTTAGCAAACAAATATTTTGTTGCTTTGAGTGTTGAGGTAAGCTTTAGAAATGGATGGGTATTATTAAGTGTTTTACTTAATATTTTACTTCATAAAAATCTGGTTTCAAAGTTGTGGATAAAAGAGATGAACCTATTTAAATCTCAAACTCCTTTGGCCTTGTAGGCATTATAGAATTGCATGCTTTATTTCAGGTTTTGTTTTGTGTCTTCTTGTGCTGTACATATGAGAGGGCATTACTCTTGCTTTTATTTAACTGGTTTAAGAGGGCTGTTGAACTTCGATGAAACTTTCCTGATAAATAAGTGTTTTAAAGAGGCAGAAATTCTCTTAAACTTTGAGGTCTGCTGCACGAGGAATCTCTAGTCAACTTGGTAAGAAGATGTCTATGTGAGGAGACTCAATATTGTGAAAATAGAGTGCTAATGTAGAAATTCCTCTGACAGTCTATCTTACACTTTTAATGCTTCTGTACTTTCAGTATAGATAGTCCCATACTTGGTTATTAAATTATTTCAGTAATTTGGTGAAGCTGTGTGGAAATGCATAAATATACCTAAATACCTCAAAAGAAATCATAAATACATTTATGTTGGAAGGGAACTTGGGTCATCTTAGTTTAACCACTTACTCAAAGCAAGGTCTATGCAGAACTCATACCAGCTTGCTCAGGCCAATTGGTCTTGAAAACCTCCACATGTGGATACCCCACAGGCTTTCTGTGCAACCTGTTCCAGTGCTTAATTAGCATCAGAGTGATTTCTACCACCACCTCTTATATTTCCTTCTCTTCATCAATTTATGGCTATGGTCTCTCTTTCTCCTCGCTAACCTTCTGATAGGTATTGATTGTTATTGGGTGTTCCCTGTACAGAGGCCTTTCCTTCCCAAGGCCAAACAAGTCCCAGTCCTCCAACCTTTCCTCATGGGGCAAGTGCCCTAGGCCCAAGTGTCCTGGTGGCCCTCTGCTTGACTGGCTTCAGTCTGTCAGTACGGGGCAGCCGAGAAGAGGATGTAGTGAAGGCTGTGCATGGTCTAATGTGTGCATAGTTAAGGGAGATGATCCCTTTCCTTGGCCCCCTGCCTGTGCTGCTCGGACGAGCCAGGACCACCTTGGCACCCTGCTGCCAGGGCCAGCTGCTGGCTCATGCTCAGCTCGCTGCTTGGCCACAGCTCCAGGGCCTTTTCACCAGAGCTGCTCCCCAGCCTTGCAGTCCTCAGCCAGTGCTGAAGCCGGCTGTTAGTCCCGTCCAGGCGCAGGAATTAGCGATGTCCTTATTGAACTAGTTGACACTTCAGCTAGTGCATTCCTCCATCAGTTGAGGTCCCCCTGCAGGACAGCCCTAGTATGGCATGCAAAAATTTGTTGAGGGGGCATTCTGTTTCCTCCTCTGAGTTAAAATAAGGTATGTGTATGCTTTTAAGTATTTAAAAAAAAAATCAGTGTGACAAGTACTTGCAAGGTAGTTTGTATGGAATTAATGTTTTGTTTGAAGCTTTCTGCTTGGGGACCTGTTGCATATAGACTTAGTCAAATGCAGCAATTGGATTTAAGGGGATTGAATGCAGTACACTGGAATGAATTTTCTAGATAAGCCTTAGCTTTAGTCAAACTTTTAATTCCACTAATTTTATTGTGTAGACATAAAAGTGTGCTTTAATCCATAAATGCTGTTGGAATGACTTCTCTTTCACATAATGAAACTGAGTACTGATGGTTATCTTGCAGAGGATTTGTTTTTTTCTACATAGATAAATCAAAATTAGAAGAAAGAATGCTGTGTGACATAAGTATCTAATTGTATGTTGAACTGAACATTTATTTTAAGAATTTTGGATTAGGAATGATCAGTTTGCATCAATGTGAAAGTGAGATTTATGCAATAAGAGCTTCTCAATTTTCAGGGCTGGCTAAATCAATAGTTTCCTTATTGTGCACTTAGAAAAAGAGTAAAGGTGGTATTTTTCTTCCTTACTGGCCTTTATTCAAACTTTTATTTTTATGGTGTTCTTTATGTAAAATATCAATAAACAAAATGAAGGTTTAATTTATCTTTTTTTGACTACCTTCTATTGATTGCTTGGAGCTCAAGAGATTTAATTATTTCAAATTCTGCCTCAACTGGCATATACTGAGGTCTCTTTTCCCTTAAATACCTATTCTAATAAAATTCTTTGTTTGAGAGTATTTGGTGAGTTAAGTTAGCTATACTTTAAGTCTTTCCGTCAAATAGCAAATATGGGTATAAAAAGGAGTATTTCAAACCTCCACTGATTTTTGTTCCCACATCCCCTCTCCTGGTTGGAATCTGTTTAAAGAGTATTTATATAAAAGTATCATTGCATGGTGGAAAATTTGAACTAGTAATTGCAATAACAAATTATCTTGTGTTTTATTTTCTTAAGGATGTTTCTGGAATGCCAGCTCTCTGTCGGCCTGTTGCAGAGGCAGGAGGGGGATTTGATTATCGACTGGCCATGGCTATTCCAGATAAGTGGATTCAGGTGATAAAGTATATTTTTAAAATATATTATAATTACAGTAGTATGTTTCTGTCTCTGCACATGCACAAATACCCTTTTCTGGTTTTAATGGACACATTTTACTCTTTTATCTGTTAACTTAAGGGACTATGAAAATAAATTCCAACAAGCTTAAGCATAATGTTACTTTCTGAAGATCTATCTTAAGCTATTCATTGCATTTTTGTCATTTTTTTTCATATGCTAGCCATACTGTTCAATTTGTTTGAAATAACCTGTATCTTGCAACAGCTGTAGACTATGTAGTCATGCAAAATGTGAACAGATAAATGCTATGCAAAAATACTAAAATAAATTAAAGCTTGGTATAATAAACTCTTCTTAAATTGGGCATAGCAATTGGCACTAACCCTAGTACTAAAAGTTTAAGCATAGCAAGGCAATAATATTTACACCAGTGGTCAGTAGAGTTGAGTTTATAAAAAACATAATATAAATCTGTAATTCTACTGCTAATGTACTGATAAACAATGACTATGAGAAGGATTTAAATCACCTTTTCCTTAATACAGAGAATGACACTCACACAAAAAAAAGGAAGAAAACAATAAATAATCTTAAAAAGCCTCCATTCCTGTTTTAGGGAATGTCTTTGTTAGATATAAAGTCGCATCCAAAACCCCAGGGTTATCATCATAATCTGAAAACAGTAAATATTTTTGTATGAGCATTAATGGATTCAATAAAGATAGTGAATAGCTTAAAGAAAAATAAGGTGTGAATTAGCTTAGCTTTACCATCTTAACTTTTGTAAGTAGCAGATAGAGGGCAAAATAGTTTAAAACCTCTATGTTCAGCTTTCATAGCACATTTTATCATAGGCAGAGACAAATGACTTCCTAACTAGACAAAATGCAAGTGGCTAGCTTTATTTTGCAAATGAAAATACACAGGAATTTTACAAGTTTATTTTAGCAATCTCTTATATAGCCAGCTTGTTTTCATTTGTTTAATGGAAACAACTATCTATCATGAAATAAGTTCTGGATATTTCTAACTGTCAAGAAAAGACATCCAACATATATGGTTACTGTTGAGACTAGCCCGTCCCTCTCAGTGTCATATATATCTTCAAGTCATGGTTAGAATGCATGTTTTGGATGCTGAGGGTGGTGGCACTGTGTGCTTAAGCATAGAACAGTAGGTGAATGTTTTCAGAAGATACTTGTATGCTTGGAGTTAGGAAAAACTAAAGTAATAACAAGTGTTTACAATTTACTAGGGTTTTGTTTTGCTTTGCTTTTCCCAGAGTAACCAGAATAGGTTGCTTTTAGTTAAAACAGAAGTAACTTTTGAATGACCTCTTTATTTATCCAGATAATTAAGGAGCTGAAGGATGAAGAGTGGAATATGGGCAATATTGTCTATACATTAACAAACAGGCGGTCTGAAGAAAAGTATATTGCATATGCAGAGAGCCATGACCAGGTATTGCATCTCCTTTTTCTTTAATTATGTATACACAAGTAGCAGGTGAGTTCTAGAGGCTTAGTGAGCTTTTCACCAAAACACTATTTAACTTTTCTGTTTCCTTCAAACTGAAAGAATTGCAAACTCCAATTCTATTTTGAGATCTCAATGAAGTATTCTTTAACAATTCCGTCAAAATTAAACACAGCTATTGTACTGGCTGATATACCTGAAAAAAAAAAAAAAAAAAAAAAAAAAAAAAAAAGAGGGGGACAAAAAAATAGATTTTTTTTTTTTAATTTGATAGAAAGACATAATATAGATTCATTTCCTTTATAATGCCTTTTTCAATGCCATTTTGTCACTGGAAGTGTTAAAAACAAGACTTATGTCATGCTTTAAGAAGAGAATTCTGAGTTTGCCAGATTCTTTTTGAGTGCATATTTACCTTTTTCTTCCTTTTTTTTTTGTTTTTTCTTTTTCTTTCTTCTTCTTTGTCAGGGGCATACTATCTATTTCAAGCACAAGAGCAAAGTCCTAATCCTGGTAACAACTGTTAGGTACTGCTAGAGAATGTGTATTATTCTGTGAATATGTATGAAAGATGTCCATGGCTGTCTCATAGTAAATCTTAATCCTAAAGCATGACATATATGCCATTTTTCATTATTATTATATTTTGTGCTTTATTTTATCAATTTCTTTTTTCCATATCACACTATTTCTTGCTTATTTTAGAATTATATACTTGAATGGAAGCTAAATATATTTTTCATTTACCAAAATAAAAATAGCTGAGGGTTACAGAAGGGTATCAAAACTATATGTAAAAAGCAAGGTGGGTGCATTGAAAATATGCAGATAAAGTAAGTGGAGGAAATTCAATGTTATGCACATGATACTGGAAAAATCATAACTTCTCATACACAATAATAAGACATAAGCTAATTAGAAATAACCAGAGCACAGGACCTAATGGCTATAAAGCATGTATGAAAATGTCAATTCAAAGCTAAAAGCTATCAAAAAAAAAAAAAAGAAACAGAGCTTCAAATTATATGAAAGGAATAAAAAGCACAAAGTAAAATTGATATGCTGCTGGAGTATTTCATGGCTCTTTTCATCCAACATCTTGAATGTTGGATGCAGATATGGTCCTCTGTCTCAAAAGATATGTTAGCATAACTGGAAAGAAAATGTTTAGATCATTAGTAGGAATATGAGAAGGTATGGAGTGGTTTTCATGAAAAGTGAACTAAATAGACTAAGACTTTTCTGTGTAGAAAAAAGATCTTCGAGTGGGAGGGGAATGACAGCAATTTAGGATCATGGCTGATATGGAGAAAGTGAATAGGGAGCAGTTGCTTTTTCATCTGATGGGAAGATTAGGGGTCATTTGATGAAACACAGAGGCTGGGATGTGACTGAGGAGAAGGTGTTGTCCCCCATCCTGCTGGTGTTAGACAAAGTTCTGGAACTCCTTGTTGTGCAGTGCTGGATTTGTTAGAGATTTACAGGAATTATTCAAAAGGAATTTAACATATTTTATTACTGTGCCTCTGTCTCAATGTACCTGAGCTGTGATTGTTAGGAAAATGTTTTGGGAAAGTATCATCAGTGATTGTCTAGCAGGCAAACTGCTTTGTTTCAGGCATCTGCTATGGGTCTGGTTTTTGGAGTCAGTATGGTAAGCCACATGGACAGGTGGTCTGATCTCATACAGTTATGCTTAATAGATATATATTGCCTTAGTTACATAGAACTTTCAAGAACTACTTTTTTCAACCTAATAAAGCCACTTGATTATGCCACTACATTGAGTCTGAAAACTAAAGCAATTTCTTTCTTTTCAGGTGGAATTTCTTTACAAACCTTTTATACCCTGAGGAAACCAGCAAGTTTTCATTATAGAGTGTAAAATGATGGAATAAAAACTGTCTATTTACAGACACTCCAAAATGTTTTCAATTTTTCTGCATACTAGCTTATGCAGAAAATGCAGACTAATGTAGAATTAAAATAATCCTGATTACATAGGTTTTATGTAGACTTTCTTAAGGATAAACAACAAGATAGTAATTCAGTAGCTGTTTTTATGTAAATTACTAGTCTATTTTTCTCTGATAAATTCCCAGAAATCTCAGAAAACCAATCACGTTCTTAATCATATATAAACAACGTGTGGTGTTATCTCTAAGTCTTCAAATCAGAAGTATTCTTAATAGCCATTTAGTGCATTTCCTGGGAACTTTGCTTGAGATGTTTTCTGTCTTATTTTCTGTTTCTATAAAAATTTTGTGATAGCAACTCCCTTGTTTATTACGTAATGCTAACATATTTTGCATTTGGTAGAGAACAACTGCTTTTAAAAGTTTACATTTGAAATGCTTCTAATATATAGAAATACTTCTATTTTCAAATAATTTTCTCCTTTTTTTTTTCTTTTTTTTTTTTTTCTTTTTGCAGGCACTTGTTGGTGATAAGACATTGGCATTTCGATTGATGGACGCAGAGATGTATACAAACATGAGTGTGTTCTCCCCTCTTACTCCAGTTATTGATCGTGGAATGCAGCTTCATAAAATGATTCGTCTCATTACTCATACACTTGGGGGAGACGGGTATCTGAACTTCATGGGTAAGTAATCTTAGGAACAAGTCTTTCATTTTTTCCTCTACAAAAGGCTTGGCAGGGAAATAAAATGATCTGACATCATCTTTCATCCATAGTATTTATCACACTGCTGAAGTTTGGAGCATAAATGTTTTTATAAAGATTTAGTGCAAAAGGTAATATGCACTGTTTTCCCATCTGATAGATATATTATAAAACAAGGAAATAAAGTCAACAGGGTTCCTAATTGCAACAGAAATCCTTTTAAAATGTGGTAAATTGCAGTTCAGGTTATGCTGATGTATAGCTCAGACTAGTATTTTAATTGTAGTTCTGCAGGTCTGCCAGATGGTAAGCTGTATTTTACACAACTGGGTTGTCTTCCATCTCTATTTTACTGTTCTAAGCTCTTTAGGCTAACCGTGAATTAACTAGCAATGGCTCTGTGCTTGTTTTAGTTATTAATTATTCAATAATTAGTGCAGGGAAGGAATCTTGGATCACTTAGCCCTTGTTTGTTACCAGGATATGTATGACAGGCAAGAACACATTGTAGAGATAGGAGGCACATTCTGGTATTGAGGCAAGTGTTTGCAGTATTAGTTTCTTTTGGTTCATGAACATTAAGATACAATCGTGGTATTCCTTCCTAAGCATGATCACTATGAGACCATTCAATAGTTGACCTCAGATGAGCAGCAGCAACTTACAGCTCATGTAGGCATCTTAAATTAATTTTTCATAGTTCTAATTTAATTGAAATGATTTATACTTTTTTTTCTTTACCATAATTCTTGCTGTTTTCTAATTTCTCTGCAAAGTAGTCCTTTTATGACAGAATTAGTGATGGCAATAGATAATGCGGTGTGGCAAGTTTTCTCTAGCAGATTTGTTTCCCCTACATGAAAAAAGGGCTGAAGGCATGCTATAAATTAGCATCTCAGTTGTCTAACAATGTAGATTTTTTTTTTGGTCTAATCTTGCTACCATTTTTTTTGATAAATATTTTGGATGCACTTTGACCTTTTTCCGTAATAGTATTCTTAAAATATATATTTCTGCTAATTTTCAGAATTATTCTGTTTTAACTATTGGGACTGGAATGGTTGAATTTGATTTAGGTGTATCTGTTTTGATACACCTGGGTATTCCTGGGTATTACAAGAACACTGCAAAACTAGAATCTTTTTGTAACTTTTTAATGACAATTAAAACTTTATTAAAGTACAGAGAAATTAATACATTCTATGGTGTTCTAGTAAAACCATATTATTTACAATAAAATGCAAAAAAAAATCTAAATTTAAAAGAACTAATTAAATATTTATGAAATGTGGAGTCAGGGACCAAAATGCACAGGTATGATGTGTGCTGTTCCATTCAGACTGGTGACACTCCCATAGTTAAGGAAGCAGATGTTTAGAAAATGTGTCTGCTAAACTGCAGATGTTTTCTCTGCCCCATATTGACTTGGTAAGATGAGAAAAAATATCAGTAATTCTATGTGACATGTTAAATTCAGTGTGTCAATGCAGGTTGATTGAATAATTAATACTGTGCATTCTTGAGTACAGCTAATGCTTTAGTAAATGCATTAGTTTTCTGTATGTAAAAGAAAAATAAATGTTGTAGGAGAAAACATATAAATTCAGAATGCTTGCAGTCTAGTGTAAATCAAACGTGTGTTGTGGTGTGCTTTCTGGTTAAGCAAATAAGTGGCAAACAAATTTGTTAACTTTCTGGTTTGTGAGGATGCTGCAGATAGAGAAAGGGAGCCTCAGGTGAGGGGCACGAGTGTAGAAGTCTCCTTTAAACATTGCAACTGCTTCTGGACTTTCCTAGCTGCACAATAAGTGTCTTTGCTCACCTTGGGTGAGTAACAACCCCCTTTTTAAGCAGTGCACATAGGAGTGAAAACTTGTGTTCTCAGCTATATCCTTAAATTGCTCTTTGAAGGTAAGATTTAATTACGCTTATATATGAATAGCACAGACCTTATGAGGAATGGCTGAGGGAGCTGAGGTTATTTAGTCTGGAGGAGAGGAGTCTCGGAGGAGACCTTGTCGTGCTCTACAACTGCCTGAAAGGAGCTGGTAGTGAGGCGCGGGGGTCGGTCTCCTTGCCAGAATAACTGCTGATAGGACAAGAGGAAATGGCCTCAAGTTGCGCCATGGCAGATTCAGGTTAGATGTTAGGAAAAATTGGAGATGAAGCATTGGAACAGGCTGCCCAGGGAAGAGATGGAGTCCCCATGCCTGTCAGTGTTCGGAAAGTGTGTAGATGAGACACTTAAGACATGGTTTAACAGAAAGGGTATTGAGGGGCCTACGGGTGGACTCTGTGATCATACGTAGGTATTTTTGCTGGTAATTGTAATGATATTGAACTGAAGTATGCATCTAATTTTAATCTAATTCAAAATGGAAGAAATGCATATGGGAAAATATCTGGAGACTTAGATGTTTGCTCTCTCTATTGTGAGGATTTGAAAGCAGAAATGAAATTAAAAATCCCATACCTAAAAGAAATAAATTCTTTATTGTCAATTTAACTCCTATTAATAGTAAGGCTCAAATTTGAGTCTTTTTGCTCTCCCTAAATTGCTCCTTAAGGGTTCCTAGAAGTTACAAGACTTCTAAGAGTACTACATGGATATTCTGATCTCATCCAGATGATAAAGCAACCATTTGTGCCTGGTGGACAGAAGCATTTAACTTCAACACACTTATTCTCATTCTGCATTTCCTCAATTTAATAGTTGAATTTATAATTGCAAAACAGTTGCCTGTACATCCCTTACAGAAGCTTACCTTTCCATTAGGTCTTTAAAGAAAAGCTGTAGACATCTGTAATTGTTCTTCTCCCTTAAAAGTTCCCTTTCTATTCTTTTGCCCCTTGTCTGCCATCTCCTACCCCGCAAAGAGGGAAGAAGCATTGCAAGGCTGGTAGAAGAGCTCTGTCAATTCTTCAGCAAACTTTTTTCTTGTCTCCTATTTTGTGCTTCATCTACTTGCCTATCTATGTTCAGATGTGTAATGGAAGCTGCTTTTTTGTCTAGAATTAGCAGAAAATCAAGTCCAAGAGATCTTAAAATCAAATTTTAAGTTTTTGGGTTTCTTCATATAACAAATATTTATGCCACTAAAAGGTCTTATTTTTCAGATAACAATCATTTTTGTGTTTCCTTCTTCATTTTAAATTGACTTAACTCAAACCTATTGATTTAAATGGAGATTAGTCCCAATGTGAATCTCTAGCGCTATTTTTAATAGCTTTCCTACAACAAAACAACTCTTAATTAGGACTCCAGAGACCAAGACTTTCTCTCTGTCCCCCACAAAACAGCATTTTTTTTCTTTATACAGAAGCTAGGAAATGATTTGTACTTAATGGAAAAATTTAGGGTATTATGTTCATTAACTGGTAGTATTGAGGTTTAAGTTGATATTTACTTCTGTTTCCTAATATCATCAAATCGATCTATAATGTTTCCTTTACTTCCCACATGTTCATTTATAGACTGGTCTCTCTATATTTTCTACACCTAGTTTATGAATGCCCTACAATAGTTTGGTGTAATGAGACCTTGTTCTCTTTTTGGCCTTTTAGAAGGAGTTATGCATCAATTCTTCCTTTAATGAGTATTTCAGGTAACTAAAATATTTTTTTTTCTAAGCAAGAAATTTCACAGTAGAAGACTTTTGAAGGGATGTTTAAGACCAAGAAAGAAAGCTGGAAAGCTGTCTTGTAGCACCAGTATCAGTGGGGGAAAAAAATAGAACAATTTGCATTAAGAATTATCATGTAAGGTTTGTTATAAAAACAATGACACGGCATAACCTGCCATGTAAATGAGAATGTTACTTGAAACACAATCATCTTACATGATGAAAAAAATGTGTTTTTTTTTTTTTTTTGAGTTATGTTGAGCACTAAAATATCTTTCGTTTTAAAGTTAAAGTTCAGTCTGGATGCTGGAAATAAATCCCTTTACATTCTTATATAGTCTTATATAATTCCTATATATTTTCCTATTACTCCTGTGAACTGGTCTCAAAGACTGTTGTGTGGTGTTAAACAGAGGCCTAAATAGCAGGAAAGCACATACTCTTTAAACCAGCTCTCTTTGGCCAACTCCTTTGGATAAACAGTCCTACTGCACTTATTTGATAAGGATTGGGTAATAGGGGCTGTATTTTGGAGTGGTGGTTCTGCTTAGTATGCGTGCCTGAATAGACCTGCCAGATGCACTTTCTGTGCTGTCAGTTCTACCAGGTGCTTTGATTTCATGGCAGCCTGGCAGAAACAGAAAAGTTGTCCCCCTTTTTAAAGGGCAAAACGAAGATGGAAGGGCACCATCTCAACACCTACCCAGAGCCTGGCATAAGCTCTTGTGTTGTAGTGAACAGATCACCTGTGAATTTGTTCCACAGTACCTCGTATGCCCTGTGTGCAAGCTGTGGTGAAAATGAGGCATCCAAATTAGTCTTCGTTAATTGCTTTTAGAGTCTCTTCTGGAAAGTTTTCTGGAAGTGCAAACTACTAATACTTAGAATTGATTGAAATAAATTTCATTTGCTCAAAATGCATAGTAAGAGACTAGACTAGAAGGCTAGAAGAAAAATAATTAGAGACTCTGTCACACACACAGAACCTTCCATGATTTGAAACTTGGATATAATTGCCAGAGGAGGAGAGAGGATTTCTCAGTTCTGAAAGGACTGTGTTTTATGCATCTTTTCTTTTTTTTCTTTCAGAGCAACGGTGTTTTTTTCTTTAGGCTATGTGTCCAAGTCCTAAATCTGCAGGGTGTAAGACATTCCACTATTATGAGCTAAGTGGATTTGCAGAAAGCCAAGCCATTCTGATGGTTGGATTTGGTTTTATGTATGTAACATATACATATATATAGTAGTTGTGCGTGTGTGTACACATGCTTTTAAAGGGTCGGTAGTTGTATAGTTGTTTTTCTGTTAGTCATGTGGAGTGATTTGCTGATTTATTTTGGGAATAACAGAAAGTTT